TGCCTCACAATCAGGAGGTTGTGAGTTCAATCCTAGGTAGAGGCAGATGTAGGATCTCTGGTTGGACTAGATCAGTGGTTCTCAACCTTCCTAATGCTGTGACCTTTAATACAGTTCCTCATGTTGTGGTGACCCCCAACCAGGGGTGGGTTCTAAATATTTTTACTACCGGTTCTGTGGGCGTGGCTTATTTTGTGGGCGTGGCTTGGAGGTAATGTGACTGGGTGGGCGTAGCTAGCTGGTCATGTGACCGGGTGGCCATGGCTATGTGTATAGGGACTACTCAGAGGGCTGAAAAAAGTCATTTCTGACAGGTCCTCGGACTTTTGACTGGTCCTCACACTTATGACCATCCTCACATTTATGTCTGTGCAGCATTCTTAACAACCATGTCACTCATTTCACAACTGCTTCTCTTCAACATGGTGATAAGATAGGGCAAAAAACGTAAAATGTGAGGACAATCGTAAATTCGAGGACTGGTCAAAAGTGCGAGGACCAGTCAAAAATAACTTTTTCAGCCCTCTGAGTAGTCCCTGTGCACAAAAGGACTACCCAGAGGGCTGAAAAATGTGATTTCTGACAGGTCCTCGCACTTTTGACCGGTCTTCGCAGTTATGACTGGTCATCATTTATGCCCATTGTACCATTCTTAACAACCGTGTCACTCATTTCACAACTGCTTCTCTTCACTATGGTGACAAGATAGGGCAAAAACGTAAATTGTGAGGACAGTTGTAAGTTTGAGGACTGGTCAAAAGTGCGAGGACCAGTCAAAAATAACTTTTTCAGCCCTCTGAGTAGTCCATATGCATAAAAGGATTCAGCAATAGAGAGGGATGAAGGAAGGGAAGGGAAATTAGAGTAGGAGTGAGGGTAAGAGAGGGAGGAAGAGTGGAGGAGAAGGAGAAAGAAAGAGGAAGTAGGGAGAAGAAGAAGGGGGGGAAGAGAAAGTAAGAAGAAAAGAAAAGACAGAGGTGGTACGTTTGAGGAGAAAGATTGCTGTACAATAAAAAAGATGAAAGGGAAGAAAGCCAACCCCAAACAAATATAAAGATATTAAGATAAAGAATGAATTGTTAAAATTTAAAGAATAAAAGAGAACAAATAGGAATAAATAGCAATAATTAGAAACATACAACATATTTTCTTTGAACAGAGTATTTGGCCGGTTCACAAATTTAAACAGTTGTAGGAGGTTAGCACCCACCCCTTTCCTAGAAGAATGAAATATTTTGGGAAATATTAAAAAGGCAGAATATTATATTTCCGTGGATGAGAAATAGAGAAGCATTGGAGAAATGGAGAGACAAAGCAGCTCCCACCTTCCTGCCCCCCATCCTTTGTTAATGGGCCAGAGGCAGAATGTCAATCCTTTGTCAAATGACATTTGCAACACAATAGCAACAGAAACTAACACAATGGGCCCCATCTAGCAACCGAAACTCACCACACGTGACCTGGGAAGCATGTGACCTGGGAAGCACATGTGACCATCAGCCAGCAAGGCTAGCTAAGACCCCCACCCCCTGGGAGTCTGACAACCAATCAGGATACTCTTTTGGGGCCCCAAGAAATGCAAAGCCAGAGAGAGCATAAAAACCCGAGGATCTACTGTATCTGCCCCTTTTCTGTTCAGGAATTCAAGCCATGTGATCCTGTCCACCATTAAACCATCTTTCCAAGCAGTCTCCATGTTTCCAGTGTCTTTTTCCCCACTTGGAGCAGAACCCAGAAGGACATTTCTTCCAACACAGTGTTTAGTCATTTCAATTAAATTTACAATTTCTATATTTCCTTTTTACCATATTTATTCCTCATCTATTTTTTTAAAAAACCAATTTACCCATCATCCTCATCTCTAATCTTAATCAAATTCAATTTTTCCCTTCTATTCTATATTATACCCCTTTGCATTGTCATCTATTTTCATATCCATCCTCACATTGGTTAATTATGTAATTATGTAATACAGTTGTTTAATACAAATTCAACATTTTAATATAAATCAATTAGTTATATAACTATCTTTTTTGTATATTAAGCAATATGAACATGAATATTCCAATTATTTCCATGCAATCCAATTTCTTACAAATCAATTAATTATATTTACCAATAATAATAAACCAAATAATTTCCCCCATATATTCCTCCAAACCACAACTTAACCATTTCTGCTTTCAACGCAATATACAATTAATAGTATCTCAATTATTACAATTCCCTAGTTAAATAGAGCTTTTTTTCTTTTGTGTTTTAAAATCTTGAACCTCCTCTTTTGCCCTAAATTTCCCATTGTTTGCAGTTTTGCAACTACCTTTTTTGGTGAGGAAAAAGAAAAAGAAATCTCTCTGCCTCATTTTGTCACATTGCAGCAAAGACCCTGCCTTACTTTCAATTTCGCTTTTTCAGCATAGCTAGGGGGAAAAAAATTTGCTCCAGGAATTTACCTCTTTGCAGCTAGCTCTTTGAAGCCCCGCGGCAAGAATTTAAAGTTTTTTTTCCCTCTAGCCATCAGCTGGGACTCCGGAGGCAGCAATAGATTGGGAGTGGAAGGGGTAAGCGACCGGCGACCGGCAATCCAACAGAGGGTGAGGGTGAGTGAAGGTGTGGGAGGGGGGGCAAGAGAGGGCTTTGGCGACCCCTGTGAAATGGCCGTTCAACCCCCAAAGGGTTCGCGACCCCCAGGTTGAGAACCGCTGGACTAGATGAAGGTCCCTTCTAACTCTGTTAATCTGTTTACTGATTATAAGTACACAATGGATGATCCAATTAGAAAAAGACAATTTTTGGTCCTAGGCTTCAGAGTCATTTTAATATTTTCAGCTGTTCCGCAGTGGTACCCTAGAAAATTATTTGTTTTTCCATCTTCTATGCTGGTTTTAAATATAGACAGTCCTCAATTTACAACCACAATTGAGGCCAAAATTTCCACTGCTAAGCAAGGCAGTGGTTGAGTTTTGCCTCATTTTACAACCTTTCTGCCACCGTTGTTAAGCAAATCACTGAAGTGTATCACATGGTTGTTAAATGAATCCAGCTTCCCCATTGATTTTGCTTGTCAGAAACCAGATGGTAAGGTTACCAATGGTGATCACATGATCATAAATACATGCCAGTTGCCAAGTGTCCAAATTTTGATCACTTGTCCATGGGATGCTACAATGGTCATAAGTGTGAACATTAGTCAAAAGTCACTTTTTTTAGTGCCGTTGTAACTTCAAACAGTCACTAAACGAATGCTTGTCAGACGAGGACTATCTGTAAAAAGATTCTTAAGTTGTAGGTGGGTTATATTGTGTGCAGCATTCTAGCTCCAGGACACTGTATAAAACCTCTATTCATAGTTGAACCAGGGTGTTGCAGCCTGTTGGTCTAGGATGGGAAGGCCTCATTTTCAGCTATGGAAAGACACTTGTTGTTATTCTTCTAAATTACAACAGACTTGCACAAATTTGTCTTGAGCAGAAATGTTGACAAGACTCATGTACGCCACCCTGATTTTTTTCAGAAGAAAGATAGAATTACAGATAGACCTTGTCTATCCACTGGGACCACCACTTCTGTCGCCGAGTGACAGAGTCACTGAGACATCATGTGACTGTGAGGGTCACTTCTGCTGCCATCTTTATGCAAATTATCATGGATCATTAAGTGAGATGTCACATTATTGCGACTTGCGAACTTACTGCTAGCTTCTCCATTGACTCTGCTTGTTAGAAACCCGTTATGAAGTAGGCAAATGGAAATCATGTGATTGTATGGATGCCGAAAAGATAATAAATCGAAGGACTGGTCATAAAGTTTCTTTTTCCAGCACCATTATAACTTTAAATGGCCACTAAACAAGTTGATTGGTAAGTGAAGTTTATCCCTATAGTGCAAAATTAGCTTTATGAATTCTTAATGATATTCTGTGGTTTTTTTGCTTGTCTCTATTCAAAGGTGATCCTGAGATGCAGGCTGTTTTCATGCCTCTCCTTTGTCTCAAGATTTTTCCCTTCTTTGCTGTCTTGAGCAGACAGCAGTATGACTAACAGCGCTTAATTCAAGAATTATTAGGAGCAGAGATATTATAGAAGACTGTATTAAAGGTAGGCAGATGAAACAGTGGCTGTAATAGTGTAACAACAGAACAAGGAAAAAATAATATTTCAGATGTTTGTTGTATGTGTGCTCATTACTGCCCTTTCCTTTTAACAAATAACTTATATCGGTTTTTGACATGGGAAGCTAACTCCTAAGGCCCTTTCTGTATGGCACATTATCTGGCCGATTAGCCTTTTTTATTTACATTTATTTATTATATATATAAGCCACCCATCTTGCTATCCAGAGCAACTTGGATAGTTATGGGGATGATCCCTATGGAGGAAAAATAGCTTATTTATCTATGTTTTATTAAGATAGTTTGACATAAAAGTTAACAGACCCCCCCCCCCAAGAAGTTTATTTTTTCAAAAACAGGGCGACAATGGGAAAATGTGTATAGTTCACTTTTGGAAGGCACACTGATCATGTACATCTGGGAATAAGTTTGATGACACTAACTGCAGAAAAAAACCTGAGTAGAATTAGACTCTCCCTACACACCCAAATCTCAGACACTGAAACTTTTGAATCCTTTTTTGTTGTTTTCACCATGCACCCCTAACGAGCTGCTATCTCAACAGCTACCATCTAGTAGCGTCTAGATGGAACTGCGGGGTTCTTTTAACCATGGTCAGAGATTCCCTGTCCACCAAGCTTGCTCGCATCCCCGGCAGTAGGAACGCTCCCGGGAAAGATGATGGTGCCACGAAACTAGGCTGGGCTTCAGCAGGGGAGGTCCTGGTCTGGGAGAATCTGCAAGGCCGGACTTTGGCAGGAGGCGGCGTCTCCAGCCACGCCGCGCGAGGACCAGAGCCTCCGGCCCGCTCACTCGCCTCAACCTGGGCAGGCAGATAGAGGGTTAAGCCAGGCGGGGCCGAGCAGCCAGCCAGCCAGCCGGCAAGAGCGGCGCCTGCGCAGGGTGGGGGTCGGGTTCTGGCCCCGGTCTGCCTTGCTTGCGAAGTTGTCCAGGGGCCCGGGAGAAGTTGGCGGCGCTGGGCGGAGGCAAGGGCGGTGGGGCCGGGCCGCTCGCTCGCGTCCCTGCCGGCCATGGCGTTCCGCAGGCGGGCGAAAAGCCACCCGCTCTTCAGCCAGGAGTTTCTCATCCACAACCACGCTGACATCGGCTTCTGCCTAGTGCTCTGCGTGTTGATCTCGCTTATGTTCGAGGTGAGCAGCCCCTGCCGGGGGGATACCAGTCGTCTTCTCCTTGGGAAAAGGGGGTCCTGCCGGGTTCTACGGCTGCATGTTCTCCCGATGAATGCTCCCCCTGGCTCCGGGGGCGGGAGGTATCAAGCGATTTCCTTCCACCGCGAAGGCTTTTGCCATTTCCTCTGTCTTTCCCGCTTGGGACATCGCTCCCTTCTCGCTCTCTTATCTCTCAATCGCTCTCCCGGATTCCATTCCTGGATGATACGGTATTAAACCAGAGAATAACACTGCTATTTATTCTTCCCGCTTGGGAGCCCTCCCGCCCCTGGAGTTTAAACTTGGCTGCCTCGATTTGAAGATCTAGCCTGGAAATCCGCTTTTTATTCTGAGATTTTCCCTCTCTTTATTCTCCGAACTTTCCCCCAAGCTTTAAATATTTGCCCTGTCCTGATTCAGAGCCTTTCATGGAGAGCCAGACTTTCTAGGCAACTGATGGGTTGTCATTGTTAGCAGGAGGGCTTCTTTGGAAGTTTGTCCCTTCAGCAACTCTCTTCACCTACCAAAGCAGACAGTGGAGTCACAGATCAGAGGAGCTGCCATCTTCCCCTTGGTTGACTTGGGTTTGGCATGGTGGAGGTTACTGCTCCATGGTGAGTGGAAGAGCATCAGTTGTAAGGAACACCTGTTGTTGGCACCCTATGAATGGATTTAGCATTGCACTAAGTCATGATGTGGTTTGTGATCCAACCCAGATGCTGTGCTCTGTAAACCTTGGTTTATGGCTCAATATGCTGCAGAAACCTAACTGTTACAATATAGTTTGAACCCAGCCCCCTTTTGGATGGTGCAGATGACCATTTCCATGGCTGATTCCCAGCCGGGGGTGACAGAGCAAGCCATGTTGCTGCAACTGTGAAAAACAACTAGTCTTCCTTTGCTTGCTCTTTTTCTCTAGAAGGCTGGGGGAGTAACATTTTGTCCACTGCATTCAATCTCATATACTGTGCCATTAGGGGGAGTGAAGAGACTGGCAGCAGCTTATTTTAGCCATCTCTGTTACTCATAGGCCCATTTAGATAAACAAGCAGGAGAGACAGTTGCCAAGAACTTCTGATTCTGCTGATTTTTGCTCTTGGGTGAAAAGCGAGCTTGGGTCATGTTCGCACAACAAACTAATCACCAGAAGGGATCAACAAAGATTTATGCGTTGTCACCTTAGTCTGGTCATTTGTGATTTAATAATCAGCATCAGATTATTAGAACCAGAATTGGTTCTGTTTTGAATTTGGGGAAAAAAAACCCAAAATAATTTGAAAGTTTCTGGCCCTAGTAGTGAATAAGCTTGCGGGGTGGGGGTGGGGGCGGCGGCGGCGGCGAGGGAAGCAGTTTTAAGATGAAGGCACATAGCTCTCCCTTAACTTTTTCAATTTACTGACAAAGCCGGTTGTGTGAACATAACGATCACTTCCACATAGCCCTAGCGTCCAAAGAGAGGGAGAGAGGGAAGGGTGGCTTCTTTAAGGGCTCAGTTAAACCAGTGGCCCCCAGCCTTTTGGGCACCAGGGAACCAGTTCAATGGAGAGAGTTTTTTCTGTGGATTGGAGGGGGTGTTTTTTTTTCTGTGGATTGGAGGGGGTGTGGTTTCTCATACTGCCTGCATCCCTCAGATGAGGTTTTGTTTGTTTGCATGGCCTGAGTCCAGGGGCCAGGGGTTGGGGACCCCTGAGTTAAACAAATACATACCGCAGCTTTTCCCCCTTTGGAGGAAAAGTGGAGGGTGGAGGGGAAGGATTGATCTGTTCACCTGTTCAAGCAACATGAGTGAACTGTGGAGGTGCAGCAAGGAAGACCTGAGTCCACAGCACCCCACTCAGTCTTTGTCCTCTTTCCCTGAATAAAAAACAATTGGGAAGAGATTTATTCTTCCTGCCTTGAGGAGAGGGTGTGTGGCAGTGGAAGCAATTGCCTCTAATGCACAGTTGTCTACTCAAATAAGCAAAAGGCTAAAAGCAGCTGCTCCTCTCTCCTACCCATACTACAGCTGTTAAGACTGGATGGAGTGTGTTCAGCCTTTCATATTGAACTACCAGAGAGGCAGCAACTCTTCCTTCCACTGTTTGACAGGATACTAGGAGCCAGAATTAGGCAGAGTTGCTTGCCCTAAGGGCAAAGAACTGATACAGATCTTTTTAAAGCTATGATAACTCATCAAGAGAAATTCATCGAATTGAGATCCATTTAAATGTTTAATGGCTTCTTTCCTGTATCTCCACTACCCAGGGGCAATTTGAACCTGGTTCCTGCTCCCCTTATGAGCTTTGCTGGATCAGGCCAACCTAGTCTAGCATTCTAGCCTCACTACAGTCAGTGCTCACCAGCAGGACATGAGTACAATGACACTGTTCTGTTTATGTTCCCTGACAACTGTTATTCAGAGGAAGTTAGACATGAGGACTAGTTGCCAATCAGGATGTGCATCAGGTGCATCTGGAGCTAGGGTCTTGAGAAGTAATGAGATGACTTGCTCACATTCTGAATTTCCCTCTAGAATGTGGACAAACCTGAATTCGTTTTGTTCAGAATCCTGGCTGTAGGTACATACTATTCAGAATTGATCCTGAAATGAATGACTCCAGTGCAAATAAATAAATAAATCCTGTTGTTCATAATTTATGTGCAATACTGTAACAGGGACGGATTGAAAGTATTAAGACTTATCCCAGCTTTCAGGCCATCTCCTTTATTCGTTTGTTTTAATTCTGTTCTCTAGCAATGTGTAGAAGAGGGACTCATGCTGTAGCAAGGGTCTGGCTGACTGCATTCCATTTTGGTGTATTCTCTCTATTCAGGTCATCTAGTCCAGTCTAGTCTAGTCTTGCTGGCTGGGGAATTCTGGGAGTTGAAGTACAAACATCTTAAAGTTGCTGAAATTGTGAAATGCAGATTTAGGCTGAGAAAGATAGAAAATGCAGTGTCATATTAAGTTTTGTTTATCCATTTTGCATTTTCCCTTTTTGACTTCTGTAATGGGTAATGTATGATCATTGTACAACCTTAAAATTAAAAGAGGATTGATTTTTAAAAAATCTGCCTGGAAGATCTGGATTTTTCTGATTTCCACCTTTTTCTGTAACAGCAGCTTTCTTGAGCCAGGCATGACTCTTCATTAAGAGATATACTGTACACTTGTTCCCAACTTGTCACTCTTTCTCAATATTCTTTTACAAGCATCTCCCTGAGTTTTCAACATCATATTTTGACTAGGCTTCTTTTGCTCATTTGCCTACTGTACTCAGTCTTCATGGTATGTTACTTCAATCTTCCCTACCTCAATCTGAACACTGATTTATTTTAACTGATCTCCTCTGGATCTGGGCAGGAGATCTGCATACATCAACATTATTATTATCCTTGTCTTCCATTAATTTTTCTATTTGGGCATCCCTGTGGGATTCTAAGAACATTGTTTATATGTGATCACTAGTAGCAAGCAACTGTGGCTGGTATGTGCTTTTAGAACCTTTGTTCTATGTCTCATCATTTATATTTCTTATAAGAATAGAGATGTCAACAGCCTTACATTATCAAGATTATTATGGTTGAGTTCAGTTATTGGATCTTTTTATTTTATTGCTGTCTAATGTACTTGGATCGTCGCACTCAATATTCTTTGGAATCCAAAGAATTCTGAGAATGTTCTTTAGCAATGTAATATTTAGTAATGATCTTTAGATCAGTAATGCAACAGAAATTGACTTAGATATTATCACCTCCATAGCAATAGTATCCTACAATCTAAGGAATTGTATTCTATCATGTGCTGTCAACAAGGACTAAAGAGCATTCTTTTGGATTTTTTGCCTTGCAACCTTTAATTGAGCCTCTTAGATTTATTTAACTGCAATATTATATATGAACATTTCATATAAAACAACATTTCAAATAAAATTATTATATAAAGTTATTAGTGAATGAAATGAAAAGTTATGCACAGCATTATTTTGAACTATTGATTTTTAAAAACCTGTTTAAAACTTTGCAGTCATGGGAGAAAATATTACACAGCTGTAGAGTTACTAGTAAAATGGCTCTGTCCCTTACATCAGTATACCTAATTGATTTGGCAGAAGGACATTGAAGCAAGATTAGGACTGATATGGATGAAAAGATTTATTTCAATAATCTGTCCTCAAAGCATGAAAGTAAAAGAGATTTTTTAAAGATAAAGAGTTGCTGATCCACTGATATGATGTGTTCATATCATATTTGGATCTTTCTCTCCTTTGGCAGGGAAAGACATTACTTTTATTTTAGTATATTTATTAGATTTTTATCCTGCCTTATTTTAAGAGGGTTAAATTGGTTTATACTACATTCTGTCTTCCTAGCTTTTCCCACAAGAACCTTATGAGGTAGGATAGATTTACAGAGAGTGACTGCCTCTTGATCAGGGATTTTGGGAGAGAGACAGACAGATATGAATTAACAAGTCCTGTGGCCTGAAAGTTTGGGGAAAAAAACCCATCCTCCATCCAAATCCATCCATCCCATAATATTATCAGCTTATATTTGGTTATATCAGAGACAGTATTGAATGGTTCATACCATGAAACATGAGCCCTGCTTTTTCCGGTTTGGCTAAAAACCCGTTATTTCCCAATTATGCCAATCTCTTTCCTTGAAATGATTAGAATGATCACTTTACCAACAATATTAAGAGACACTCTATATAGAGAGAGCAAAAGTGTGAGTGTATCATGCACAGAGGTAGAGATGTTTTAAAGCAACACGTCAGCAACAAGAACTCAGGAAAAATGTTAGAGTTTAAGGCCATAATTTTTTTTGCAGTTTTGGATTGCCCTGTCTATGCCCTTGAAGTGTGGTTTGGAGTCAGACACTTATCAACTCTCCACACTATCAGCTCTCCACATGTAATCAACTCAGTCTTGGCTTTGAGGTAGATGTCTTGGATGCATGCATATTGTGGAAGTTGGAGCTGGCTCCTTTCTGGGTTGTCT